AACAACAAAATAACCACAGCTGTTACTAGATACATTCTACCCTACGGACAGAGTGGTACCACAGCTGTGGGGCCCACATCAATGTTCTCTACATTTTCTTCATAGTAAACCATAGTCAGCCAGATTAAACAATCTGACTATCAACGGCAACACTCTTCTGGATATTGCATTTAGAAGGGAACCATAGTTTTGGATTAAACAATCAAAGTTTTTCTCTTTTTTCCTTCAGTCTTGACATATGCATTTGTAGGGTGCCAATTGCTATATTCATCTAAGTTGAACAAGGCTGTGGATGGCTTGTTCCCTATATATTTTTGTAAAGGTAACCCACCATAATCAGCCAAATAAAGGCACTCGATTGTAGATGGTTTCTTTCCCTCTAGATCCACAATTTCTTCTTTCACAGATGAAATTTAGAAACTAAGTGAAAGAGAGAAGAAGAATACAATAACAAGATTGCAAGATTGTAATATAAGGGAGAAGACATATTCAAAGAGGATATTTGCATAGAAACTTTTTACTTGCCTACCTGTAGGTATCATAAAATGTTAGTTTTTTTTTCTATTCTCTTGTTAGAGAATCCCAAGATAGGTATCCTGCCCTCCCATTTAATAAGAGAAAGAGGCAGGCACAGTCTCAATCCACGTAATGGTCTTAAACAGGCCTTAGGTAATTGGATTGCATGGGCTAATAATTAAACCTATTACTTATCCATCCAGGTGTATCCTATTATAAATTTTCACTTTCGCCATATTTTGTGATTTAAACAGTGAAAAAGACTCTCAAGGCAAGGGTGCCTCTAGGCTTTCCCTCATTGTCCCTCATTGTCCCCAAGGTTTTAAAAACTGACCTGGAAACGGAACTGCTTTGGCCACCGGTTTCTGGGTCAGTGGTTCGATGATGCTGGTCAAACAGTTCAAATGGTTGAGTCATTTCTAACATGTATTTAAGATATTAGCCTTTAGATTAGAGAAGAGATAGTGACTGAGTGAGACCAACCAACCCTCAAGCGTTCTCTTGTTTCTTTTTCTTTTTTTTGTTATTTTAGTTTTTAAAAAATTATCTCAATTTTTTACTATTAAATTATGAAACGTTACCTGGTTTTAAAAAATTATCAGCAGTTTGCTGACCAAGTTTGTAGTCTTTTTGGGAAAATCCGTGTTAGGTGGAAAACGGAACCAGATAGGCAACCAGTTTCCAGGTTGAGCAGTTTGACTACTCAGGTCAACGATGGTTTTAAAACTATGGTTATTCCCTTGATGAGTACCAAGGCAGGAGTGGCTCTAGGCATTTCTTCATTCTGCCTTTGATGGTTCTCATTAAAACAGTGCATCCAGGCAATCTTCACAAGAGATTGTGGCAATTGTTATTCTGTGTGTTCAGTATCTGTTCCATCCTTGATTGTTGTCACAGCAGTGGTGCCTTCAGAGGTCACTTGCGTGTTCTCCTGGATACAGTTTTAAGCTTGTGAGTATCTTCAAACCATCATGAGTATCTGGACCCTTAAGTATATCTAAGCAAAATAGAGTCATTTCTGTTCTTTTCCCAAACACGTGGTTCAGGTATGAAGAGTCTAACTTATCTAAATTCCTGGGAGTTTTTCATTTATGCTTCTAATGAAGGAAAATGTAGCTACTTCATAGGGAATATCATGTCTGCTCTGCAATATTTTTCCTTGTTTGTCTTTCATGCATTTTAGATGTTTTAATGCAAATGACTTAAATTCCCCACAGATTTATTTCTTTCCTTCGCAATTTATCTTACCAAGTAGTGTGATCATCATCATTTGAGTATTTTTTTTCTCAAGCCTACAATTATTTTAGGTCCACTGCATACCTAGGACTGAGTTGAATTTTTGGTCCTGATTCAATGTTTTTCTCCTTTTCTTTGGGGAATGGATTTTTTTTTCTTTTTTTGTTATACTTGAGTGAACATTACATGATTAGTTAAGTAGACTAATCTTGCTGAAGTAGAAATAGAGGTGATAGCCCTTCAATCTCACTCCTTGAGAAAGCTGAATGAATCATTTTGCCCTTGACCTTTGCTAAGAGGTGTTTGTATACCACTCACTACTGAAAGCACGTAATTTTTCATATTTTCAGGAACTCCAATCCATGAATGTGGTCCCTCGTTTAAAACTAACTGAGGCATGATTAGCATGGATGCTGCTCTCCAGTATATCAAGTGCGGTAAATGGGGTGTCTGGATCAGGTGAAAGATGTTCTGCAGGATACCAGATCAAGGTGTGCAACACGAGGACCTCATCCTCAGATCTAAAGAGAATCTATTTGGACATTTTCTCGCTATAAAGAGTGGAATCCAACGTTCATGGAAGTCTGTTATAATTCCCAAGGTGCAAAAATTATTAAGAAGAGTTGTTTCTACTTTGAAGCCCTTCTGCTGCATTACAATGTCCAAGAACAGGTCATGTGTACAGGTTTCCTTAGTTCAGTTCTTTCTTATATTTAATATTATTAGAACAAAATAATAGATCCTTTCCCCCTATTTGTTTTTATCTCTTGCCCATTTTGGTTTCTTTATTTCTCTCTTTTCCTTCTTTCTTTATTTATTTCTTTGGTGGGGGGATGCAATGTGAAGGGTTGTAATGCGTAACAACTCTGGGCATTTTTTCTTTGTTCTCCATTTGAAACAATTAAGTGAAAGCTCTGAACATTTTTCAATTCTTTTCCGTTCTCCATTTGAAACATTGTTCTGCGTCCCAATTCCTCCATTGTTATGGGAGTTGTCATAGCATCGTTTTAGTTCCAAGCTTATTATGTAGTAAGTGCTTTAGTCATTTGCTGTTAAACTAATCATCAAACGCTTGGTGCCACAGTGCCACCCATACCAGATTAAAACATGCATCTGTTAATATGAGGGCATCCTATTTCAAAATGGAACCAACCAGAAGCGAGACCCGAGCCTTTTTACGGTAAATACACAATTAGCTAATATTGTTAGCTTTGTTTCCAGGGCTTTTACAACTTGACCTCCTACTCATGGAACCAGGATACTCAATTTTATGATGATAGTGAACAAATGTCTATATAAAGAATTTGCATGATTAGATAAATTTTTATCTGATTTATGTTTTGCATCAAGGATTGCCCTAGTAAATCTGCTGCCCATTATCTGAATTTATGTAGGGCCTGTTTGGCATGTCTTTCCGTGCAGTTTTTTGGCTGTTTACAAGCCGGGAAGACTGATTTTTGGTCTATTCCCGTTTGGCTCACGGAAGATTTAGCCACCAAAAGACTGTGCCATAAATACACAAGAAACCCATTTTGGGATGATTTTGGGAAGCTTCAAATGAAGTTTCCTGCGTCTTTCGCATTTTAATCTTGTGCGGAAAGACTACAAAAAGACACATCTGCCAAATTGTCTTTGGGCTGCCCAGGTCTTATGTCAAAAGTTCAATGTGTCTTTTGACTGTCAGAGCTACAAAATCTTCTCAAAAGGACACGCCAAACGGGCCCATAGTAAATCAAACTGTTAAAATCTCTTTTAATCAACCTCTTTGTTCAAGTGACTTGAGAGTGTGAATTCTATTTCCAATCTTGTGTGGAAGTTATGCGCTTTTTCCTTTGCCTTGTGTTAAGTGTAATTAGATTACTTTGCCCTAATGTAGGCTTAGTTTAAAAAGTATACAAATACAAATTTGTACAGTGCAAATACATAAAAAATAATAAAAAATGCAAGGTTTTGCACTCTACATATTTATATTTGTACTCCTTCCAAACTGAGCCAAGCCTATGTCTCAGTTTGGTCTTCCCAAACTGAAATAATTGGGGTGAGGCTTGGAAGATGATGATGATGACTTCTAATAACGTTCTCAAAAAAGTTTGGAAAGTGACAATTTGGAAATATGGCAAATACTTTTGAATTAAAGCATGCAAGGCTTTGTTTGTTCTCACGTAGCAATTGAAGGATGTTTTTTACCGAATGCTTTTGCCTCATTTTGTTTTTCAAAAGCAAAAGTTTACCCAAACAGAGCTTAATCTTTGCAAGAGTTTAATTCTTTGAATGGGCAGAGCTGCGAATGCAATGCAATACAGACCAGGTAGTCCTTAAACCTGAAACGAAAAGATGAATTCTAGTAAGGGTGCAAGATGGGCTGGGTTAGGTTGGGTTCTGGTGAACCCTAAGTTCTGAACCTCCCAATTCTATCCCTAATCCTTGTTATTGCCTAAAATCTCTCTACTTCAACCCAATGCAACCCAAAACTTCGATACAGCTCAGAAAGACGGGTGAAGCCACAACATGGACTATAATTTATAACCGAATTTATGTTGGCTGCACAGTCCTCTGTTTCTTTTAATTTCTAAGTACTTCAGTAAATTAATTAAAAATGCAGGCCTTGTTCTGTTTGTTCTAATAAATAACAAACTGGGAAAAAATAAACTGTATACGAGTGTACATAATATTAAAGGAGCTTACAACTCAAATTTAAGAGGAAAGATGGGAGGGAAGTTTACATTTCAGAGTTTGGCGGCAACAAGAAAACAGCAAGACTGCAAGAGAGTGGAGTGCAATATGCAGAGGCCTATTTGGGATGCAAAATTTGCACTGCTAATGAGTACAAATTTGACAAAAATGCAAAGTCTGTATCATGTAAGAGTGCAAATCATGATCACAAATAGACATACAAATCTGAACCAGGTATCAAATTCGGATATGGTTCAAATTTGCACTGCAAGCAAATAGAACCTTAGGCTCAGTTTGGAAAGAGTACAAAGGCTCCATTTGGATGCAATGCAAATACAAATATGCGCTATATATTTTTCGCAGAATCAGTCCAAATGTATGCAATGTAGGGCCGGATGTCTGGGCACCCTATGCACTCTCACTTTTGTTTTGAAATACAAATTTCTACCGAACATATTTGTTCATGTTTGGCCTTTTTGATGGATGCAAAAATAAAGTGGCCCAACCCTCGAAACCGCTCTAGCCAATTTTTGTGCCATAATCGGCCATTTAAGGCACCAAATTTAACCGTTGGCTCATTTTCACAATTTTTGATGTATAATGACCGTTTTTTTATTTTTTTTGATAAAATGCTAGTGTATAATGACCATTACAACTAAACATTGTATAAAATCACTGTTAAAAATTATCTGTTGAAAGTCCACTTTGGCTGAACATATGTTCCAACTTTAAAGCAACGATGGAGTCACAATTAACTTAACTATGCATTCTACCCTAGTTATCTCCTCAAAATCAGAGGAATTTAAAGCAAGCAAGAACCTTAGCAAGACCTACTGCAAATTCCATTTCCTCAAACTCTTCATTCTGCCTTTGTCTAATCATGTATGGTCTGTGACAAGTTCTCCATTCAATAAGGTAAAACTGGTAATCTACCACTGTCTAAAAATAAAGAAAACATGCAAATTACAAGAAAAATTGCAGAAATTTCAGAAAAATATAAAAATGCATAGAAAAGAATAAAAATTATAGAAAAACATAAAGTAATTCACTAATTCCATATGCTTTGAGGAGTAAATAGATGAAGAAAACTAGAAAAAGTAAGAGAGAGAGAGAGAGAGAGAGAGAGAAGGGAAGAAAGTGGAAAAAACTTGATTAATCATTCTCTTACAAATCAGCTACAATATAAACCCCTGAAACTTTGAGCGCTCAAAACCTAAACTAATAAATATATTATAGTTACTTCAATACCCTTAACCCCATGACATCTAAACCTCCCCCTCAAACTAAAGCAAATTGTTTCAGTACGTTCATCTTGGTGACCATCTTAGAGAAGTTTCACATATTGGTATTAGACAGTGTATGCCCTTAGCTCCAATTAGATTGATGTACAAATACATTTATTATAAATAAATAAAAGTACATTATAGTTTCATGTTAATGTTGGTAGTTTATGTGAAATTTACCCCTTAAACTAGACACTTATGAAACTCGTGTTAATTTAGAATGTTCTCAACCCTTAGATAGACTTGGGGAATTTATCCTGCCAAGGCTGACACTGATGTACTGCCAAAGAAATAGGGGCAGCTTGTCTCAGTTGTTAGGGATAGACCTGAAGCACATGTAGTGTGTTTGGTTGCCCTGGACCTTGGAGATTGATAGGCAAAAGTATAAAGTTACACATAACCCCTACACTTGATTATGGTATTGTACTAGGTGAAAGATTGGGCTGTCTTTGATATGCCAATCAGTGAGATCCATTGAAAGTCAAAACCTGGGTATGTTGGGACAGTTTGAGAATTCACTTAGGAGGATGATCATAGTGATAGGATCGGTCATTTTGTCAGACAAAGTGAATGATAGGGTTTACGCTCTCTCTTATGGAAACCTAAATTGTCGGTAATGGATTTCAACTGTTTTTGAGATTTGCTTTTGCAATATATATATAAGTGTTTGCAAAATCTTTTAATTCCCATGATCCATCCGAGTAGAGAGTGTGGCACTGCACTTTGTAGCCAAGGAAGAGGTCATTTCCTGTCGGATAGTGTTTGATCATTATGGGCTGAGAGGTTAAGTGTAAGAAACCATTAAGCGATTATTACTTGATGGGCTTTATCTTACTTAAGTCCATTATCCTTGGATCTTCATAGTATGGCTGAATTCAATGGTCATTTAAGTGTAAATGTTGGGCCCATTTTGAGCCCATAGTGATGTGTTCAGGAGTTCATTGCGTTATGTAGTGAATTCAATCAGGCCTTTTTACAAAGGATTGTTCGAACCCATGTGGGCTTATATGAGGTTATTGTGGGCTCCAACGCCATACAAATCAAACTTAAATTGGCCAAGCAACACTCTTGGGTCGTGAGCCATATAGCTAATGGGCCGAAGGCACATAATTAATATGATTAATTAAGATGTCACATGAAACTTGTCATGTGACATGAGGCGAATATGGGTTTAGAAATGGGTATGGAGCTCCCATCCTCTTAAGAGGATAAAACTTATATCTTAAAAGAGTCCAGGTCCAAAAACAGTTGTCAATTCTGCTCTCTCTTTCTTCTTCTTTTGTCTCCCAAGAAATCCTAGTTCGACTACAGCTTTTGGGACTGATAGAGATTAGTTTTCTCTCTGATTTTTGCAAGAAAAGTTCAAAGAAATTTGGTGCTCACCTCCCTAGTTCAATCCAAGCAATTGGATTGTAGTTTTGCTGAAAATTACATTGCTGAACTGGCTTCAAAATCAAGCTGCGCCATCTTCAGTGAAAGTTAGTTTTAGGAATTGATTTAGGCGTGAACTTCCACCTTGGGATCTACACTTGTGGTATCCATACCAGGTATACATCTCCCTCTTTGTTTGGTTTCAAATCTGGTCCAGTTCAGTGCTTTCTAGAACATCAGGCAATAACCAATATAGAAAAAATGCTTGGTCCTGATGACCAAGTGCCTCCAAGACTAACTTGCCACATGGTGGGTGAAACTCATATATTAGTAATGAGTTTCTATAAATCACGCAGTGAAGCTCCATTTAAATGGATGAAATTCATTAACAAGTACAAAAAGCCGCACTATAGACATGAATAAATTAGACATAGCGATCAAAATCCATGCATGTGTGGGGTTACATGCTAAGGCAAATGAAAGAATAAAAAATATGAAAATGGAGAGATACTGCATCCGTATCAAGCTATTAAGGGGCACCCTTGGGGTTGGTTCCTTGTTTTTAAGAAACCCTTGAAACTTATGGATCATTTTCTAGTTTTTAG